AAATGCATCCTGCAGTTGTTGGATGTGTTATTCTATAAGTGTGAAATTGTCACTTTTTCATCTTTAGGAAGGGGTATGTTTTATCTGTTCTTTCCATTTCAGAGAGGTATATTAGACTCTGTAGTTATGATTGTGACTTTGATGTTTTCTTTGTACTTCTCTATTTTTGCTGCACATTTTGAATTTGTTAATATGTACATACACATTTAGGGTTATGTCTTGATGAATTAGCCTTTTTTTATTACCACATTTTCCTCATTATCTGGAAAATTCTTCTGTAGGCTTTGCCAGTTTTATATGATGACCTTTATGTGACTTTCATCTTTCCTAGTTGAACTATAAATTTCATTGACACATTTAATCTTTACATGTAGCATAATTCCTGGAACATAGTGTTTATAAATGTGGGTTGGTTGAGTAAATGAATGTAAAGATGTTGAGTGAAAAAAGCATAGGTGGTAAATAGTATAATGGTTGGAATAAAGAAAAGGGTAAGTGGATTAATGCGGACTTGAAGGCACCTTGGTAAACAGACCATATCTTTGTTCTTAGGATTGTTTTATGTTTTTAATTTTATGATTAGATTGTTAAATATTGAAAGTATACTTGTGTAACTTATAAATTCCTGGGTAGCTCATTTGAGAATATTTTGTAATAGTAATATAAGGAAAATAGTAAATTATAGTAATATAAAGATAATGTGAAGAAATATTTTATAATCATTTCAGGATAATAAGTATTTGATAAAAGCAATACAGTGAGGGGGTGGGGTTTTAGCTCAGTGGCATCATGCCTGCCTTGCAAGCGCAGGGTCATGAGTTCAATCTCTGGTACCAAAAAAAAAAAAACAAAAAAACAAAAAAACAGTGATAACATAGTAATATAAAGATAACAATATTTGAACCCCTTGGATTGAAATTTTAGTTCTTAACACTTAACATTCAGAGACTATGGTCAAATTAACTTCATTTTCCCATCTCAATGTAAAATGGGGACAATGTTGGGGCCTATTTTTAAGTGTTGTTTTGAAGGTTTAAGAAGTTGATGAATGTTAGTGTCTTAATTACTTTTTTCTTGTTGCTGAGAAAAATACCAGATACCTAAAATTAAAAAGAGTTAAGGTTTATCTAGCTCACAGTTTGTAGAGGTTTCAGTCCATAATTGGCTGGTCCAAGGCAGAGTGGCACAGGAGCAACAGTTCATGGCGGTGGAAGGCAACAAAAGCAAGAAGAGGCCTTAACAGTGCCTTCCTGCCCCTTTCATCTTATCCAGACTGCTCGGGGCAGATGGCATTCACACCCACAATCCTAGCACTGCACCCTGCATCAATTCCAGCATCATGCACTCTAAATCCAGCCATTTCTGAAAAAGCCCCACCTTATTTGCATGAGGCTTTGGGCAACATCTAAACACAAGCCATAACAGTATTAAGAACAATACGTGGTTTAGTGTAATCTTTACGGTCATCATCATCATCATCGTTATCATCCTCATCATAGAAAATGTATAAAATGTATAAAAGTCTAAAAGTAATCGTGTGGTTTTACCTTGCAGAGATAGTTCCTTAAATTTTTGTTTTATTTCTTTCTTGCTGATTTCTGAGATGCCCTCAAAGCATCTTTCTCGTCCCTGTACAAAATACTTGGTTCCATTTAAATACTTGGTTCCTTTTAATGAAAAACCAAGGTGCTGATTTCATCTGCAGTCGTATGTATTTTGGCCCTAATTTTATACATGGCTTCTTCTTGGCCAAAATTTAAATTTACTACTTTTTCTGCTCTGTCTTTTGACCCAACTAAGGCAAAAAGCATCTGGTGGTACCTATGCCACAACCTAGATGTTGGGGCATCTTGAAATTTCTTGTCAGATTAGTCTAGATTAATCTTGGTCTCCTCAAGGACATGGGTAATGTAGACAAATTTTCTGCCAGAGTGTAACATACACAGCTCCTCGTCCAACTGCTAATGGAGTCTTTGTTTCCAACAGAAACTTCCTGTGCCTAACCTTTATTTTCCACATTCTGATCAGCTTTCTGGTCTTAGCTTCAACCAGACTCTTCTATGAAGCTCTCTTTATAACATTGTAGGGCTTCTCTAACCTGTGTCTCCATAACTTCCTGAACTCTTTCCACAAACCAGTTCCAGACTTCCAGACCATATGGTCAGGATGTCATAGCAATAACCGAACTTCAGTTTTTCTTTTTTTTTGTACCAGAGATTGAACTCAGGACCTTGCACTTGTGAGGCAGGTGGTGACACCACTGAGCTAAATCCCTGACCCTCTGGCACCAGTTTTTGTGGTAGTTATCTTTCTTGTTACTGAAACATAATATTTCACACACGCGTGCATTAAAAGAGAGATTTAATTTGGCTTACAATTTGGGGCATTCAGTTTATGGTCAGCTGGCTCTAAGGCAAAAACATAATGGAAGGGCATAGTAGAGGAAAGCTGTGCACTTCCTGGCAGCTAGGAAGCAAATGGAGGTGCTCCTAGCGCCACACCTCTTTCAAGCAGCTCCTTCCTCTGAACATTGCATTTACCTGTAAACGTGTCAGTAGATCAGTCCACTGAGCATAGCACTCCGTGATCCAGTGACCTTCCAAAATCCCCACCTCTAAAAACATGAGATTGTAGATCTAAACCATAACACAAATGATGTAGAAAAGGCGTTTATCTCATATGGCCTTAGTGATAGACATGGTGGTTAGGGAAGCCTTCATAGAATTCTCATATTTAATTAGTGAATTAATGAGTTAATGGATTGAGTTTCTAAGTAACAAACTAAGAGCTAGCCAGGCAAAGAGGGGTAGAGTTCTTTCTTATTTATGTTACAATATATAATATAATCCTTACTGTACTCTTTAAGAAGCTATAATTGAATTTTGATACTGCTTCAAGTGGCAGTGAGGCAAACTGGCACGTGTGTGTTTATGTTTTAATGCTGGGGATTGATGGCGTGGCCTTGAACATGCTAGACTGAGTGCCTTTCCCTTGCAACATATCACTGGCCCTTAGAACATGTTTAGAAAGGAGCTTCATTGTTTCATGAAAAATGATGGTATGTGGTATTGCTATATTTCCTGTGTTGTGGCATTTGTAAAATCATATTATATTTGTGGACAATTTTAAGCTCTAGGTAGATAGTGAAAAGGGTTTAGGAGTGGGAAAAGAAGGACCATTAATGCCAACTGATTCCCTAATAATTGTAATTCACTTACGTCTTCATTTCTTCACTATAAAGAGAGCTGTTTTGAGCTGTTGCTCTCATATACTTTCTTTGTTCAGATTCCCTTCAGCCAAATAGCAGCAAACTTTGCACATACAATGTAACATGGGATTTTTCTTTTTTAGATATACTGGATTTATGTTTATATTATTTATTTCATTTTATAGGAATGCTTTGTGTGGAAAGCTTCAGTGTGAGAACGTGCAAGAAATGCCTGTATTTGGAATTGTGCCTGCTATTATTCAGACACCTAGCAGAGGCACCAAATGTTGGGGTGTGGACTTCCAGCTAGGATCAGATGTTCCAGACCCAGGAATGGTAAATGAAGGCACAAAATGTGATATTGGAAAGGTAATCAAAATATTATCTACTTATAAAGTAAAAATGAAAAAAATTGTAAAAGTCATTATGCAAAGTAAGTGGCCACTCACTTGTAATTATCAAAGAAATCTGCTTATTATGAACATATGAGAAAATACAAAGCCACCAAGAAGATAATTAAGAACAACTATAATTTACTGTTTGTATTTTTTCCACTGGAATCATATAACTTTTCCATTTTGCAGTATTCTGTGCATATTTCTTTCCCCTACCTAAATTTATTAGCAGTTCACTGTTATTGGGACAACTAAGTGATTTCCAGGATTTTGAGTGATATATATATATGACTTTGTATCCTTCTGTACCAGAAAAGTCACCCTTTCTGCCCTCCCCCTACTGCTTGCCATGCTGACCACAACTGTTTGGATCAGATGTGAGCCTAGAGTTAGCCAGCCCACGATTTATACCAGTGATTCCATATGAGAAAATAACCTGGCCAAACTCTTTTTGGGGGGAATATAGATATAGTTAATATAATGAAGAAAGTTAATGAATTAGGTGCTACATTGAAAGGCTGTGGCAAGTTTAAGCCATATGTAAGAGATAAGGCAGCAGACTCCTAGAGTAAGCTGAAGACAGCAATTTACCCAGAAGATTATAAAGGGAGGGGGAGAGGGAGAGTGAGAGAGACTGAGAGAACAAACTGTAGCCTGTTACATCCAGACGTGAACTCTCACGTTATCTCAGTATCTATTAAGTCTCCATTTCTAGTTCTGTTTTTTACTTCTTACAAAAAAAACCATATATTTTTGAGTCTGTCTTTGGAAATAAACTTGATTGTTGCAGCTATTATAAATGCATTTGTAAATAAAAATTTCAGGACATTCCTCATTGTTTTCTAAGGTCAAACTACTGTAATGGTATGTATACTTTCAAGGTTTTAGATAAAGTTTGGCCAGATTTCCAAAACCTTTGGAAAGGTTTTGATTAGTTTCCCCTCCAACAGTTACGTATAAAATGTTTTAAGTTCTCCTTACCATTGTTAAAATTTGCAGTCATTTTAAAGGTTTTTGTGGTGATTTTCAAAATTTTCCTTTCTTAATTATTACTATTGAACTTTTTGCCTTATTATACAAATTAATTTCTTTTTGCTGTTTGCCTTGTGATGTTTTTGTTGATTTACAAATTGGCTGGTTACGTCATAGGTCATGTTCACCCACATGCACACGCACACCTGCCCAGTTTATTGCTTGTCTCTTCTTGTACTTTTTGCCATGTTTGCATTTTTTATGCACTCAGATCCGTTATTCCTTTCTTTTATGATTTTCACTTTTATAGATGTAGTTTGAAAGACTTTCTTCAGAATAGTATAAGACATTATTCTTATCATAACCCTTGACTTGTCTGACTGCTTATGTGTCAGTTCTGCCTTGGTCTTAGTTTGAATGATTTTATAATATATTTTTAATATCCAGTGATACAAATGCCCCCATATTCTTTTTTCATAGCTTTCTTGGCTATTTTCATTTATTTATCATTTCAGATGAACTTGAGATCATTTTGTCAAGGTGCAAAAAAATTTTAAAAGGCGCTTTGGAATTTGGTTGGGATGACATTAAATTTACAAATTTATTATGGGGAAAAGTGACATCTTTACATTATTGAGTCACCCATAGAAGAACATGGTATGTCTCTCCATTTTTTGGGGTCTTGTTTTAAAAGTGCAGTTAATAAAGGTCCATTTTAATTTTTGATTAGTTTTATTCCTAGTTATTTTACCTTTTTACATATGTTAAGAATAGGCACCCTTCCTCTTACTATTTTTCTAATTTGTTAGTGTTTTCTATTTTTTTATTTGTAAGAAAAAGTACTTTGTTTTTATTTCTAACAGGTTACTATTGGAATTTTTAAAAAAATTATTTGTGTGTGTGTGTGTGTATATATATATATGTATATATATATATATATGTTACTGGCCATGTGGTTAGTGTTAGATATTTTTGTGTTGATTATATTACAATTTTCTGGTAAATATTCATCATCTCTAAATGAAAAGTGTTAATTTCCTTTCTGATATTTACTATTTGGACTTGTTTTATTTGTAAACTGCAATGATAGAATTTTCAGAATAGCACTGAATGATAATAGTAGTATACATATTTTCATGCCCTTAACATGACTGAAAATATACAAGCCTTCCAAGATTAAATGTGATTTTGGCTGTCGCTATGAGATGCATAATATTTATTATTTAAATGGAATACTTTAAAAATTCTGATTAAAAAGAATGAAAGAAACAAGAATGGATTTGAAATTTTGTCAGTAGTTTTTGATAACTATTGAGACAATTACTACTTTCTTTTGACATTTTGACGTGCTAGTTTATTTAAGTTCCCTAACATAACATTTATAGTTTTAAACATATTTTCTCTCTGTCTCTCTCGCTCTTTCTCTCTCTCTCTCTCTCTCTCTCTCTCTCTCTGTCTCTGTCTCTCTCTCTATATATGGTATTTTCCTTTTTATAGTGTATTATAATCTTACATTCTTGGCTGGAACATTGTTTGGTAATGTTGTATCTTTCTTTAGGCGTAGCCCTTAATTCTGTTTGCTTGATGAATATACTTTCATACTTCTGAAGCTGTCGTATGTGATTATATGATTTTTTTGAATATGAAAATTTTTACTCTTGTTTTAGTTGGAACTTTTAAATCTGTCAAAAACCAACCAAGACTAGATTAAAGAATAAAGAGAAATTTATTTCTTTCAATCCCAGGAGATTAGATAAAACAAAAAGCTTTGGAATTGGAGTCTCAGGAAATTGTCCTTTGAGTCTTCTCCCCTCTCTTCCCTTGGTGCTTCTCTTGGCTTCATTTCCTTCTGTTCACAGACCTTTACACGTACAGCAGGGAGGACGAACTTCCTATTTTCCCAGTGCCCTCAAGGTGGGTAGGATTGTTCTTCTAGAGAGAAGTCAGATGTCTTAGAAAAGGACAGTACGGCAGACCTTGAAGGGCCAGTTGTGATATGTCGAGGTATGATGCAGGATGAGTGGTAGGGTCTGAGCTGTGTGCGCTGCTCTGCCTGTCTACCCTGTGCTTAACCGGGACTGTAAGGGAAGCTGATGACTCAGGTGAGCTTATCAGAAAAGAAGAAGACCGTAAAGTATATTAGGTACATGGAAAAAATATCAATGAAACAACAAACAAAATAAAAACAGACATCATTGCAGTCAAGTCTTGGTATAGTCTGTCTTTGTTTATGCAGCCTCACAAACCAGAAATTAGATGCTAGTGGTAGTGTTTAATTTGCTTGGCTGCTATAACTAAAAACTACTAACCAGATGGCTTAAATAAGAATTTATTTGTCATGGTTCTGAGAAGTCTAAGGTCCAGGTGCTGGCTACATAGGTTTTCTTTTGGGACCTCTTCTTTGGCCTGTGACAGATGGTGACTCTTTGAGTCCTCAAATGGTTCATTCTTTTTTTTTTTTTTGCAGTACTGGGAATTGAACTCAGGATCTTTCACTTGCCAAGCAGGCACAGCACCACTGAGCTAAATCCGAGACCCTCAAGTGGTTCATTGTGTGTGCGGGGGGGAGGACGGGATGGAGGGAGGGAGAGAGAGAATAAGAAAACAAGCAAGCTTTCTGGCACCTAATTGTAAGGTCACTAATTCCATCAGACTGGAGCTCCGCCTTCATAACCTCCTCTGTCTCTGTACCTCTCAAGGGCCCCGTCTCCAGGTAATATCATTTGGGGTTAGAGTTTCAGCATCTGAATTTTGGAGAGACACAAACATTGAAATGGTAATAGGGAGCTTATAGAATAGACTTTAATTAGTAGAAAAAGCATAGTGTTTTGTTCTTCCTCATACTGTTGTAGCTTTTATCCTTGAGTTATGTATCCTGACCAGTGCACAGAAGTCTTTTCCCTCAACATTTGTACATTTCATTTGAGGGATATATTTGTTTGTTTTAGCCTGGACATAAATATTGAGAAATATTGATCAATGAAAAATTGTTCTGAGAAGCAAAACTCTGAGGATACACACCCCCCCACACACACACACAGAGATTTGTGTGTGTGTGTGTGTGTAATATAAAATCTATTGTGAGGGATTACCACACATAATTATGGGAACTGACTGATTCTGAAAGCTGTAGTTGGCAGGCTGGAAAACCAGGACAGCCAATGATACTACTCCAGTCCACATTTCCAGTTCAAAGGGCTGAGAACCAGGAGAGCTGATGGGGGTGTTCTGGAGATCAGTAGGTTTGAGTTCGTATCTTAAGTCAGGGAACACAATCTACTGTCCTAGTTGGAAGGCAGGAGGAATCCCTCATGGCAGGGGGCTGAGCTGTTTAGTTTAGTTGTGGATTTCAGCTGATTACATGAGGCCATGCCACATTAGGAAGGCTGTTTTACCCAGTCTGTTGACTGAAATAATCAGAGTTGTCCAGAAATACCCTCATAAAAACACGCAGAATAATGTTTGACTATCTGGGCTCCCCAGTGGCCCAGTCAAGTTGACATTAAAAGCAACCATCACCGTTGTCTAATAAAGTTAAGAATAAAAATACAAATTGGAAAAAATCTACACATTTTGCTAGACTGACATATTCATTTATCTACTTCTCTTCCGAAACTGCTCAGAAAATAAAGGAGTAAATTGGAAACACACTCCAAAATGTGAAATAAAGAATTCATTAGAAAATAAAGTTTTGAACAACATTTTGAAAACCGAGATGATTTCAACAAGAGTATTGGTCTACAACTTATAGTAGAATCAGAAAAGACATGAACAAGAAGGCCACCTCTTGGCTCCACTGAACCTTGGGCAGGCCTGACTGGGAAGTACTGCTTGTAACCTCAGAGTGAGGCGAAACTCGGGACTGAAAATACAACTGCTTTCAGTTTATACTTGGAGAGGTCAGCCGCTTGGCTGCCTTGCCTTCTGCCTAAGAAGCATTGACAGTTGGCAGCCTGTTCGTGTAGGCGGGAGAACAGAAGGTGGGATTTTTGACATTACTTG